AGGTATGTTAGGTAGGACAGCGTATACCGGACTAGTGTACAGTATAGTTTATTACGTGTATATATATATATATATATGTATATGTGTGTATATGTATATAAAATATATATACTTTATGAAAAAAAATTCGATTTTTTTTTTTTGTATATACTTCATTTTTGTTTACCAATGCAATAAGATTCTAAATTGTATTTTACTAAAAACATAACTTAATATTACATTCATATCTTTGATGATTTTTTCGAAGTTTCTCATATATAAAGTAATAACGAATGTAATTGTATGCATTAATGCACATTCACATAGAGTTTTTATACCTGAAGATACCCTGCAGCCTGAATCGGGTAATCAACCTGAGTAGGCGAGATATATATATATATATATATATTTCTGTTGGAATGAGATTATATTGTACAAATAAGAATGCAATGCCTGATCAAGTATGGTCGTGTAAAATAATAAATGATTGACTTTTTGATTGCATCAAATTATCATTTCCATGTTATTTAAATAGCAATATGAATTTTCTGTTAATGCAAATTGAGGAAAGTATCTCCAAATATATAAGGTTTATGACATTTACTCACTTATTTATATTTGGTTGGTATTGAAAATGATATAGAAAACTGATTGAGGACTTGTCACATTTAACTTGAGTGGCAGTTAATATGCATATATTGTGTTTCCAGAAATAATCAAACCATAATGTCTACAACTGGAGTATCCACACGTTCCTCTCGTCTGAATTCTCGTGAACCATGTAAAAAGACTGCATCTGGAAGAAAGCTCAAATCTAAAAAGACCATCACTATCAATAAAAGTTCACAAAAAATTAATATTAGTGCAAGAGACAAAAGTTTACATGTATCAAAAACAAATGTGTCTGCAAATAACAGCCAACCACTATCAAGACGCTTGCGTCCTCGTCGGAATAAAAAAAATTACTGTGAAGATTCAAAATTGCTGCAGCAACATATTCCACTAAAGCAACAGGATAGTGTGGTAATATTAGAAAAGTTAACTTCAAAAAACAATGAAAAAGTACCTATATACAAAGCCATGAAATCTTTTGAGAAGTCCTTAGAAAACAAAAATGACGTGTACGATTTTATGTTCGATATTAATGATACAATGGAGAAAGCTACTAAGAAAAAGCAGAAAAGAAAAATTAATAAAAAGAAAAACAAAATGACTAAAAAGATTACACATAAGAAGATTACTGTACAATCGAAATTAATTGGCAATGAAGAAAATGAATCTTGTGGACTTGATACAAATCCTGCGAAGCATACGCAAAGTAATCCTTCAGAATCTGCAATAGAATTGATAGTTACAGAATCGGCAAAGAAAGATAAAAAGGAAATAGAAATACCAAGAACAGTTGCAGATGTTCAGATAGTGGAAGAATTAGAAGAGGAGAATACTGTGAGGAAGATTGCATCATCGACCATAAATACAGATATTCAAATAATAAGAGAATCGGTAGAGGAAGATACAGAAAAGAAGATTGAAACACCAAGAACAAATACAGATATTGATATTGTGGGAGAAACAAGTTTACCATCTAACAAAGTATGTTCAAAACAAATTAAAATTCAAGAGACAAAGAAACCAAAGATTATCTCTGTTGAAAATGCAGATAATATTACAGTTATTAAATCGGCACCCAGCAATACTGAAGAATTTTGGCCCTTTCGGTCGAAGAATATATTTGATAATAAAACCTCGGTAAAACAGCAGAAAAACACATTGAATTGTTCATTATTAACCAAATCTTTGTCCCCTATCTTGAAGACAACAAGTGCCTTGGATGTGGGAAGTCCCTGGCGACCTCCAACATTATCAATGTTTTCTCAAACTAAACACTTTATTCAAAGTAGTACACCAAAGTTGAAATTTGAAAATAATAAGGAAAATATGGAAATGAATAAAAAGAATATAGAAATAAGTAAAGAAAATATGAAAATAAATAAAGAAAATATGGAAATAGATAAAGAAAATATGGAAATAGATAAAGAAAATATGGAGAATAAAAAGAATAAATGTGGAAGAGAAAAAGAAAGAAAAAAGAAAATGACTTTCCATAAAAAGCACGATATAATTCAAAGGAAACTTGCAATTAATCAAACTCCAGAAAAAGTTCAGGCGATAGATACAAACAAACATGTACAAGCAGTACCTGCCAGAATCTCACTGGGAGAAATAAAAAACTTATTACAAACAAAACCAGATATTAATGACGACAACAAGCAGACAACACATCAAGCGCATGTTGAAGTTGACAAATCATTTACGGAGCAAAAAGATAAAAATCTTGTAAATTTTCTCAATTTTTCCGACACATTTGATGTCTTGTCTGAAACAGAGAGACTATCAAATGTTGGAGCTGAGGTTCCTTTGTTCATGGATTTAGAGCCCTCACATTTTTCAAAGGTATTTACATTACTAATACTGTATCAATATATTTTTTTATATGTATTATATGATATCATTGATAATTACAGTTAATTATGTTAATTTAAAATATTATAGCCACCTCAACATTCATATAGAAGAAAACGAGTCGTGAAATTTGACTTTGAGGAAGATATCAGTGAAGAAGAAGAGAAAGAAAACGTGGACCATCATACCAAGAAAAGAAAAGTCACAAAATTTGAAAAAGAAAATGAGAAACGAGTAAATGCATGGATAAAAACTATTAATAGTACATTTGAAGAAATTGATGAATATAATTTGTTAATTGAGTAGTACAGAAGACAAACCGCTAAAACGCATAGTTCAAAATTTAGGAAAACCTGAAAGTTCAAAACACTGTATAAATGAACAAACACAATTTCTCTAGCTTTCTAATTATATTTAATGATAATCTATGATGAGATATTTAATTTCACATTGTTTTATTCTATATCCTTTTATTTATATAATTTTTTTACACTTGCATATATATTTCATTATTTACAGCAGGGAAGATAGTTTCAAATCCAAAAATTTTAATTTCTCAAAGAACTATGGTTCAAACAAGTTTTTTTTTTCAAATTGTATTAGAATTTTTTAAGAGATTCTAATATTCTTTTATATAATATTTTTATGTGACAAGATAACAACAAATAACTTTGTAATAACAAGTAACTTTTTTAACAAGTAATTGTATGATATATAGAGATACATTATTATAAGTATAAATATATGTATTATTTCTGCAATAATTTTAGATATAAATTATAGAGAAAGAGAAAAGTATAATGTTGATATATAGTTATATTGGGGAATAAAATATTTAAGATTATACTCAGTAGGTTATAAATGGCTATTTATAATTAGTAAAATATTTTTAATAAATATTTATAATAAATAAAATACGACCGATGGTCAATTGCATCTAACCCGCCATGAGCTGTACCTTATTTGTCAACTCATAAAATTTTATTTTTACTTTTCCAAAAAATCGCTCTATAGTGAAAAACTTACGATCCTACTGATTATTGCAATTATAATTTTCTTTGTATTTTGGTTGTAATACAAGAAAATAAAATCTGTAGTTTAAAACCGGCCGACGGGAGCGTCCCGATTGACCACAGTCACTCATATCGACTGGTGCCTAGGGTTACCAGCAACGATTGACCAATCAAAGAATCTTATTTTGAATTGGCCAATTAGTGTCCGATCGAACCCCGACCCCGACCGATAAGTGCCGGTCTACAATAGGTGATTTAAGCCTTAAGCCCGTATCAGACCATGCATTGAGATTGAAATTTGACCAATCAGGACAAGGAAATTTTAGTTCCTTTTATCCTGATTGGTCAAATTTCAATCTTCAATACGTAGTCTGATAC